TCTCTTCAGCGTTTGCTGTAGGAGAGTCTTCGGTACTCGCACGTTCCTGTGCTAGGGATGCAGCACAAAGCTCACAACTACCAACCCCTGCCGTCTGGCAGGCGCTGAGCGAGCAGATAGCACTCTGTATTTCGCCTCCCTATCTTAAACTTTACAAGGCCGCTGCCGTTTTAGCCTCTTATTCGCCTTCGATTTGCTTTCTTGATCTCGGCTTTTGTCAACTCCTCCTCTTCTTGGTCTTTTCAGCGCTCTGTTCTCTGTTATCGAAGCGCTCTACCGGCAAACGTCTGCCACTAACCCGTTAGAATGTGCCTAAGCCCACGCCTATACGCAGTCTGAACCTAGAACACACTCGCTTCCTGGCAATGTAAAGACGATTTCGGCCCCGGGAACTAGCGAAATAATTCAAGAGCTTGTGGGGCGATGGACGGCGCCAAACGATACACTTTGTATCAGGCGTACATACATGTGTGTGTCTTCAGTCTATCCTGTTTTTTTTTAGCTTCCCCGCTCATTTTGCCGCTTTGACGTCGTCGTCAGTGTTTCTCTACGCTTTTTCTATAACCGCTAGCTGCGTTGTCTTTACCCCTATTCGCTTAGATTTGCTCGCCGAGCCCTTTATCCCCAGATCCCTCTACGTTTGCCCGCATGTGTACTCCCGACACTGCTCCCATCCAACAAAACATTGTAATGATCCACCGTTGATTCCGTCCTCAACATCGTACTCTGCACTTGTTTTTTTCCACAATTTGGTTCCTGCTTTCTTTCGAAGAGGAAGCTTCAGAGGACGCTGGCCCCAGCCGGATCAGGTTCGCTGCGCGGCCGTTTTTCAGCGCTCTTCCAGAGAAAGGGCACTTCTAGAGCAGTATTCTATGAAAAGTTCTGTATGGGGTAAAGGAGGGCAGCAAGTAAGCGCGCGCGTCGCCCAGTGCATATTGTGCCCGTTCCTGCCTTGGACGAAGCCACTAGGTATCAGAAACGTCCATAGCGAACGATTATGATTATGATAACGTTATAGGAATCTTGAAAACAGTAGTTTTTCCCTCGAGCGTGTCTGCTTCGAAGATGACGCTTGTTCAGTATTAGCGTACACAGATAGCCATATAAACGTAGACGTACGCTTATGTGTCTGCTTCGACACCAACACTGGTCTTCATGATGATTTGCGTAAACGGAACGAATCAAAAGATTATGACAAAACGAGCCAGAAATGGGTCGGACGCGGAAAATATATAATTCACAGCTAGACGAGTTGAATAAATTGGAACTGAAAGCAGACAGTCCGTTGACGATGCGCAGGAATATCGAAGAATTTGGAATAAGCTTTTGTTGCGTGCCTGTATGTGCGGTTATTTCTTTTAGCCTTTCCTTGCGGCGTTGTGTTTAATTAAGGCACAACAAAATTCAGCAGTAGGTAATACCAGCAAAAAAACCACAGCAAAGCGAGATACGAATTACAAACCAATATAGCGAGTAACGGAAGTGTTGGCTGTATTCCGCAATACCCTTCCAGCTGTCATTTGCAGACAGACCACCGAGTTCGCTCAGGGTCCTGGATGCGGGACGTACAAGCTCGACACCGTTCTGCCGTCTGTGTTACAACGTTAATTTGTTCGTGATTTTCCCACCATCAACGACCCTGCCAGCACAAAGAAATCGATACGTATTCATGGCGAGCTAATGGTTGCAGGGTCGACCGGGTGTGCTGTCTTGTATGGCATAGTGGTAGATGATTTGCGTTAGATAGAATACGGCAGACAAATAAGCGTTTGTCACTCCTAGATAAATATCAGGATTTAGTAGGCCCTAGATAATATGTTAAAGGTCAAAGAACGGTTTAATAAGGTAAGTCTAACGAAGAACTTAAGTAGATAGCTAAATGGTTGATGGTTGGAATACAAATCGGTATTGTGAGCTAGTCATGATGAAGTTAGATACGACACACAAATTCTAATCTTTAAAAACGTTCATGCCAAATTGAAAGTTAAATAGAGTCGCGATATACGTGACAATAATCAAAGGACGTATCCGAAGCTTAAATTCAATTGTTGTATTTTGTATTTCGCCTTGCTCTATGTATAACTTCGATTTCGAATGAATTGTCTGCCTGGATATCTGTGCGTATGTCTGTTTGTAACTTTGTAAATCATCGTAGCACAATGAACTTTTATTGGTTTTCTTACTTAAGATAATGTCAGTTCTAGGACCGACTGGACTGCGCAACGTTTGTTATCGGCCGGTTCAATAAAATGAATCATACTTTGATTTGCAACAACGTTGTGATGTTCAGTTAACACTATAGTCTCGTTTCACCATACTTCCTTATGGCTTATATCTTCTTATAGTTCACAATAGCTCAATATATATACAGTTATTTGTTTGCTTTCGGTCAGACAATATATATATATATATATATATATATATATATATATATATATATATATATATATATATTTATAGATATATACACAAACAGCACTTGTAGTAAATATCATTACCGTCGTCATCACTACCTATATATATATCAATGTATAGTGTCAGTGTTATGTCAGTATTGTTGTCGTCGACCGCCACTGGACACCATCGCTCCTATGGTTATCGGGGTTGATGGCGCCAGAAGTAACCCAGGCCCGAATTTAAATTTTGCTTCATGCTATGAGAATTTTACACGATCCATAAACCTGTAGAAGTCAGGGTCAGCCAACATTTTTTACGCTCAGCCAATCACGAGGTGTTGATCAAAGGAGAACTAACCCAACTTGGGTCGGAAGATAGCAATTCATGGGGCTGAGGAAACCTATAAATAGTTCATCTCATTGATAGGTGCTTACGTACTGTGTTATAATAGATAACCATTTTTCAATAATTCCGCGCCTTCGAACAAGCACATCTACCATGACTCTTGTGGTCACGGATGGACCTTTCCTTCGAGCTAGTATATATGGCAGAAGCAATTTACGAGTCGCACGAAATCTTCAGCTATATTTTCTAAATAGCTCTATTATCTATTCGTATTATTACACAGGTTGCTTATAGCATAACTACTTTCAACTTTTACGGAACAGGCTAACTTTGGGGAAGGTTTCCGCGAACGTGGATAGACACGTATCTAGATCGTTCATATTAGCTCGTTATGGTCAATCGGAAAGATATCAGTAGTATAGATTTCGCAAAAAATCAAGAAATTTCTTCAGAAGCTGTGCTTATATATTGGACAGCTTATTGATTCGAGTGTGTTATTGCTATTGCTACGATATTTCCAATCCTTTCTTCGGTACTTCGGCTTAAGCTTAACAACTTAACTTAAGCTTAAGCTTAACTCCCTATTTCGCTTATAAATCAAATGCTTCAGTGATAGAAGCCAATTAGTTATTCATGAGACGAGTCTATTCCCAGTCCCGCTAGTCCATACGCACGTGCCCTGTCATACCATTGCGGTACGCATATATTCGCGAATAGCTTCCGTGCTTGTGCGTAGCTTTATACAGTAGCTTATTTGATTCAAATATCGCGATTGATTACGACGACGAAAACGTGAGCAGAACTTACCACTGTCGACGGTCAGAAGAAAAATATAGATGCTGCTTTATTTCACTTTGTTGTTACCCTCTGGTCAGTCTCTTTACCATTGATGAATCGATTCCAAACTTGGCAAAGACCGATCGTTGGAACCGCAGTTGACCGTGACGCTCGAGGTGAACGCCCCGTTTATCGGGCAATCGCTAAGTTACGATCGCCTCCGGCGCTCCGACCGCATTAGGTTTCTGCTCCAGCTTTCAAGGATCGCCCCCTTTCTGTACCTGGTGGTTTTCTCTTCACTTCGTTTTAACTTGCCCCCCTTTTTTTTTTCAAGCCTCGTGCATGCCTTTTGCTAGCTCCCTGCCTGAACACCGCTCATTCGGATAATCTCCCTTTGATGAACAAAGAAGAAAAACAAGAACACTACTGGCATGTATATATATATATATATATGTATGTAGTGGCATAATTAATGCCCGAGGATGAAATAGAGGAATACAGAGTTACGGGTAGTAAAGAGGCGTCGTTTAACAATTTCGCATTATTACAATCGCGGCAGTCGCGGCAGCAGCGAGGAAGAAAAAGCAGACGAATAAAATGGAGCCTGATTTAACTAGCCCAAGCATGCACAAGAAGACACGGAGTGATATTATGTGATATAGTACTAGAGGTGTAACAAATCTGTTCGCGCTGTTGTAGATCAGCCTATAAATAGTAGTAGCAGGCAGAAAAGGGACTATTTCTTTCTACGGAATAGGATTTTCTCGTTTAGGCAATTCTCTACTATAAATTGTCATGATGTATGTCGACATAGCTTAGTGTACGATACCTCGCACGCATCGAAATTCTGACTATGTTACCTATCTGAATCTGCTATATGACTGATTAGGTGTAACAGTGTTGATGTAATCTCGTATGTACTTGCGCGTTTCAACGATTGTTTCCAGTTTCTTCTCTGATCTGCTCCGTCATCTGCAACTTCGACTAAATGCAAAATTTTTCTCTTCCGCACGTGTTCGTCCCTGGTCCTGGAACAGTCCAGGGGTGCGTGCCGGACATCACCAAACCCAGGACCTAATCGTTTTATTCGCGACCATTGACTTGCCGATCTCCATGCAGGCAAGACTATCACATTTAGTGCGCTCAGCTTTTCCACCATTATGACCATTACTATTACTAGCATTTATCTCGTTTTTGCTAGCGCCAACGCCGTCTCTTATATCATATTCTTGCAATAATCATTAACCTTTTACACTTATTACAATTTCATTTTAGTCACACATTTTATAGTCGCATAATTATCGGTTTCGTATCGATGTTTATCAC